GAGAATATTCTCGTTTTGGCTTCTCAACAATACAGGTGAGAATGATGAACATATACACATGCTATTTGTTTCTAATGAAAATCCTATCAATATACTATTTCTAGTATGTTTTACAAATATATTCTGTATTCTATATAATACCTAGAATTCTCTAAATATACTACTCATAAAATATCAAGTTGTAGTAGTTTTTGAAGTTGATGAAAAGAACGCTCTTGAACTTTCATTTTGCCGTCGTTGACAAATTAGAAAACTCCATCAAAAGGTAACACTGAAATAGGTTTTGTGACAATGTATCGATGCAGAATTCTATCGCATACTTCCTTTGGCATACTTCCTTTCACACAACAAATGACAAAATTGGTGCAAGGAAGTGCATCCGTCTCCATGAGAAGTTAAATCGACAGAACATCCGTCTAGTGTTCTCATATCAGCAATAGTCAGGCACGAAATTAATCAGATCATTCCACAGTTCATATAAAAAATTGTCGATGTTCATCAGTAATGGCGATCGTTGCCGGTATTATTGAACAATTCGAAAATTCCAATTGATTGAGACATATCAAATCAGTAATTCATTTTTACAGACAATCACAACTGATCGTATTATCGTATTTGTTGGCGTGGCTTTTCGTAATGACTGGTCTGATTGGTTTGAAGGTGAGTTTTTTGGCACAGAACTACGTGACAGTGCGTCAGATGACCACGCACATGCGACCAACGAGTGCAACCGTATGGTCGAATCAGCTGGAAACATCTGCGTTCTTCGCACAACCACCCGGTTTAGTGCCAACCACCACTTTCCCACCTCCTCCACCACCATACAGTCAAATTAATCAGTCACCATCAGCCACATCACCGAACCCGAATCAACGAACTTCACCCGCAGCGGTTGCCTCAGCACCACCAGACTATGAGCTGATCATACGTGTTGATCAGCCGAATAGACTTAACGATTCTGTTTTGCCACATTGAATGAAGGTTCTATTTCCAAGCTCTTTATCTATGTGATTCGCACTTCCTTATTGTATACTCTTAATGATCCCACAATGGATCACTTCTTAGTTCTGGATTGGTTTCATGAATANCTTCCTTATTGTATACTCTTAATGATCCCACAATGGATCACTTCTTAGTTCTGGATTGGTTTCATGAATAACGAAGCGCTCATTTCATGCTGTTCGTTGGTAACTTATTCTTACTGACTGCAAAGTTTTATGTTATCGTAAGTACTAGTTGATAATTTTTTATTCGAAGAAGTACGAACGGAAAGTACTGAAGCACCAAAGGATTATTCATAATCATGTTTAGAGATATTTTTGAACTGAAGTAATCATCGAACAAACGATCCGCTTTATTTGTACTATGTCATGCTCTCGTTCTGTCATTGTCTTACGAAATCCATTATTGCATTTTCTGAACTCGTATCGGTATGCACGTATACAAAGTGAATTACCGACAAAATATTTCTTATTAAAGTGCCTTTATGAGGGTGAATGAATAATTTAGTTTGTGTAATATTGTTATTATTTCTTGGCATCGATATTACTTAAAATTTCGTTATTGTGCTGTTTCGTTCGCACATATGTATTGAATTGAATTATCTTTTTTATACCGTCGAATGTAAGAGTACATTGAAATGGTCAGTAACTGATGTTGATGTGTATCACATAATGAAGTACTTGTTGAAATTGTATGCAAGTATTTATGTGATCCATTGTACAGAATGTTTCCCTGGATGATATGCGATAATATGGCTCATAAAACGCTATAAATATAATACGTCGATATAGTTAAACAGTTTAGTAATCGTGC